ATCCACGAACATAAATTTGGTTTCACCAGCTTATTGCATAGAAATACTTACATTTCATGCTGGGGCTGTACATCCAGTGTCGAGAGAGTAGCGGGTGCACAAGCTGGGTAATCGCAGTTTCCATTCTCTTATTGGGGATCGCTTTGAAGAGAACACGGCTCCTGCCTCTGTTTCCTGCCCTTGTGTGTCTCCCAAGAATCAGCTCTTCAGAATGCAAGGTGACATTGATGACCAGGAAGGACCCAGGAAGCAGCGACTGGAAAGATGGCTCAGCAGATAAAAGGGTGTCCTGTTCTCTCAAAGGCCCTGGTTCAGTTCCCAGCACACACACGGTTGCTGACAACCTTCCTTAAGGCCTCTTCTGGGAAACACCAGAGCCCTCTTCCGGACTCTGCAGACACAGGCACCAGGCACACTCATAGTGCAGATATACATTTTAAGGCAAAACTCATAAAATAAAAATAAGCTTTAAAAAAGAATAAGAAAAAAATTTTTTTTACAACATTACCAACATTACCACGAGAACAAGAAGGCAAAATCTGAAGTGTGAGACTACTTAGCACTTACGCATTTATCACCAAACTTGATCTTTTGAGAGAGCAGAAGGTTTAGGTGGTACACTGTGGAGCCACTATGTGTTTAATGGAAGCTGGACCCTCATGTACTGCTGGCAAGTGCCACAGCCATGGTGTAACTCAGTTTCGCTGTTCTTCAAATGTTAAACATGAGGTAGCCAATAGAATATGATCCAGCAACTCTATTCCTAACTTCCCAAAAATGAAAATACATGTCCACACAGACATGTGAACATGAATGTTTATAACAGACAAAAGATAGGAACCACCTAAGTGAAACGTTCACCAGCTGAGGGATGGTCTAGGTGTGATATCTGCACGGTGGGAAACCATTCAATGATAACAAAGGAAAAGTTTCAGAAAGCAGCGACAAAAGACAGCAGGACGGATAACCCCATGCGTATGACATCTGGGTAGGAACCAATAGAGGCAAAAGTGTGTTAGTCCCACAGTGGAGGTGAGCAGCCAGCAGGAAATAAGATTGTGAGTGTGCAGCTGCCCTGTGGGACAGTGAAAAGATTGTAAATTTGGTTGCTTGAGTCTTGATACGCTGAAAACCACTGCACTACAGGGTGAGCTGTTTTTTCCAATAAATTCACTTATTAATCCCAATTGTCCTTTCTTCCATTGGCTTGGCTCATGGGGAGAAGGTAGTCCGCTATCTTAAGCAGAATGTGGATTCTGGCACAAGCAAGATTCAGAACAGGTCCACTACCATCAAGGTCCCTCAAGGTGACCTTTCTTTAAAGTTGTGGTTGCTTTTATCCACCCCTACCCTCTGACACCTGGCATCTACTAATTTGACCCTAGTTTCTATAATTGTGTCATCTTAGTAACATGAAAGCAATGTTTGACCCTTAGAAATGGCTTTAATTTCACTTAGCGTAATTCCTAGGAGACTTGTCCAAATTTTTAGACTAGGTCTCACTGCATAGCTCTGGCTGGCTTGGAACTCATTATGTAGACCAGGCTGGTCTAGAACTCATGGAGATCCACCTACCTTTGCCTCCTGAGTGTTGAGATCAAAGATGTGTACTACCACGTCCAGTCTGTCCAAGTTTTTGTACAAATAATTGGTGGACCTTCTGAAGTTTTGGCATGATGTGCCATGGCGTAGATGGTTTGCTATGTTTTAACCAGTCAGCCATCAAATGACATCTGGAATTCCCGGCTGAGGCTCTTAAAGAGGCAGCTGCTGTGAACATCCTTGCATAGCTTTCTGTGTGTCCACTGATGCCCTGGGAAGATACTCAGGAAAACACCTGATTTGTAACTGCATAGCTCCAGAGAAAACTGGCAAGATGTTTTCGGAGCACTCTCTCATTCTGGATTTTTTTTTCAAATTTATTTTTAATGATGTGCGTGTGTGTGCAGGTCTTTCTATGGTCTCTGCACACGAGTGCAGGTGCCCTCTGAAGCCAGAGGTGTCAGATGCCCTGGAGCTGGAATTAAGACAATTGTGAGCTGCCTGACTGGAGTGCAGGGAACTCGGGTCTTCTGGAGAAGAGCAGCAAGACATTCTTAACTGCTAAGCCATGTCTCCATCCCTCTCTGTTTCTTATCCACCCAAACGGTGTAGACAGGTTCTGTTTAGTTCCGTCCTCACCAGCACTGGATGCTATTTCAGTGTTTACTTCATTCTAATGGGTGTGCATTGACAGCTCGTGCATTTGATTTACTGGAACCTCTTCTGTGTGCTTATTGTCAGCTCTGTCCCACTCCCTCCTGGTGAATTGTCTCTCCGTTCTTTCTGTCTGCAAAAATGCATCCTGACCAGCTTTTTCTCTGAGTTTTCAACATCCTTTTATATTCAAGACACTAGTCATTTGTTGACTATGTGGTTTGCAAATATTTTCTCCCACTTTGTAGATTTAATTCATCAATTTTTCCCCTTTATGGAGAATGTTTTCCGTCTGAGCCTCTTTGCTTAATCCTAGGGCCCAAAGATTTTCTCAAGTGTTTTCCTAAAAGGTTTCACATTTTAAGACCATGACCCAATTTGAGCTAATTTTTAGATGACATTGGGATAGTTTGGGTTGTCCTCTTTTGTTTGTTAGTTAGGAGTGCACCGTCACGCAGTTATCCAAGCTTGGGTTCACATATTTGCTTGGGTGCATTGCTGGTGTGCTGTTGGCGATTATATCTGTTTCTCCGCTAATGTCACGTAGTCCTGATTACTACAGCTATACTGTAAGCTTTTCGTAAAGAAAAAAAGATTTGCTTTGTTTGGTTGAGTTTTTGAGACAGGGTCATCTTTTCTTCTTTGGGGGAGGGAGGGGTGTTGAGACAGGTTTTAATCAGGAGAACTTTGGCTGTCCTGGAACTAGACCAGGCTGCCCTTGAACTCACAGAGATCAACCTGCCCCTGCCTCCCTACTGCTGGGATTAAAGGCGTGTGCCATCACACCCAGCCTGCCTTGATTGCTTTGTAATTTATGTGTATTATGTGTCTCTCGGTGGGTTTGAGCACATGAAGGCAAGTGCCCTGAAAGCCCTGAGACCTGGAGTTGCAGACAGATGTAAGCCATGGTTGTGGGTGCTAAGGACTTAACTGTAGTCCCTAGTAGTCTTCAGGAGGGTGGTGGGTCCTCAGCCACTGAGCCCTCTCTCCTGTCCTCACTGCAGGCTTTAATGTTGGAAGATGTGACCCCTCCCACTTCAGTCTAGGTATACCAAAGCTTGCACACTTTCCTGTGTGAGTTTTAAAATCAGCTTATCTGTGTCTACAAATCAGAGTTCCTGGGATTTTTGACCAGAATTGAAAGAAACCCAGAGATGACCTTGGTGGCTGACATTTTGCTAGATCTTCCAGCCCCTGAATGTGGGGTGCCTCTCCTCCCCCCTTGATTACCTCTGTGTTCACCTCACCCACTGTGCAGTTTTTAAATATAAACTCTGTATGTAGCTTTCCTGTGTTTATTTTATATATTAACTTTCTTTGCATAGATTGTAAACAGCATTTGATACCAGCTTCCACACATTTGTTTTTATTATACCAGATGCAGTGTGTTGATCCTATGATCTCTTTGATCTTCCTGATTGTAGAAGTTTGGTTTGTTTCCAGAGTCTTTGGGTTTTTATACATGGATAGCCTACATTTCGGATGGTTTCATTTCTTTCTTCCCAAGTAGAGTGTTTTAATATTTTTAATTTGTTCTTTGGAAACTTCATACTTGCATACAATATGTTTTTTAAAGATTTTTTTTTAATTTTATGTGTATGGGTGTTTGTGTGCACTCAGAAAGCCAGAGAGGGTACCAGATCCCTGGAACTGGAGTTACAACAGACTATTGTGTGCTGCCATGTAGGTGCGGCGAGAGCTCCTAACCACTGAACCACCCCTCCACCTCCAACATACAATGCAGTTTGATCATATCCTCCGTCTCCCCTCCAACTCCTCCTTCATCCCCCACCTCATATTCTCTTCCCAACCTCAGACCGTCTTTTCCAATCTGCCTTTTATTCCTGGTACTTGGTTGGGTGAGACAGAGCTTTGAAACTGCTCCTGAACTTAAAAGTGTTCGGGGTTTTTGTTTTTTGTTTTCTTTTCCCATTACAAAGCATGACCAACTGCATTTTTTTTTTAAACACAAAACATCTTAACAATTTTTTTCCTTTTTTTTGAGAGGGGACACTTTAGATTTAGAAATTGACCCATCTAAGGATACTAAAGCGGTCTCTACTTCCTGCTTCTGGGCTCCTAAAATTGACAAGTTCCCTCCCAGGTCGGTGGCCCGGCAGGTGCTGGCCGTCCGCAGCCTCGGGCCCTTTCCCGGCAGTAGACGGCTGCCAGCCTCGCTGCCTGCCAACCGGAGTTGGCGATAGGGAAGTCTCAGATACCCAAGTGCAGGGTGACGGGCGTGCCCGGGGCCAGATTTAAATTGTGTGAACTTTTGGCAGCAAGCTGCGGCAGCGAGGAAAGAGCGAGCTGAGAGCGGGGGAAGCCAGTTAAAGAGATCCGCCGCGGGGGGGGAGGAGAGGGAGAGACTGGAGAGCGCGCGAAAGCGCGGGCGAAGCGCGGCCCCGAAGGCGGCCTCTCCTTTTAAGGGAGCGGTACGCCGCCGGCGCGGGGCCCCGAGAGGGAGGCGCACACCCGCCGAGGGTGCGGCGGGTGCCCATGGGCCCACACCTGCGCGAGGACGCGCGTGTCCGCCGGCGCGCGCGGCGGACGAGGCGCTGGGGCCGCCGCTCCCCCTTCCCACGCTTGCTCGCGGGCCGTACCAAAGGCGCAGGGGGGAGCGGAGCGTGCCATCGCGGCCCACCTGCGGCCGCCGGGCCTGGGCGGGGACGCGCTCCACCCTGGCCTGCCGCGCGCGCCCGCCGCCGCGCGCGCTCGCCGCCGCTGCAGGCCCCTCCTCCCGATGCGAAAGAAGCCGGAGCGCCGCGGCCCATGCTGATCCGTGTCCTCCTCCTCCTCCCCCTCAGGCGGCGCTGGCGGCGGCCCCGGGACCCGCGGAAGCCGGCATGCTGGAGAAGCTGGAGTTCCAGGAGGAAGGTGAGTACGCGACCCGCGCCCTGCGCTGCCGGCGGCGGGCACCGGGACTGCAGCCCACTCCGGGGAAGCACCGGGTTCCCGGAATGCAGCCCGGTTCCTGGGCACGCAGTCCCGCTCTGAGGAAAGCACCCGGCCTCGGGGAAGCAGCCAGGTTCCTGGGGATGCAGCTCTGTTCTGGGCTTGCAGCCTGGTTCCGGGGATGGAGTCGGTTCCCGGGGACACAGCCTCACTCTGGGATACAGTCCGGTTCTCAGGGAAGCAGTCTGGCTCCGGGGAATTGCAGCTCCGCTCCAAGGGACGCAGCCGGGTTCTGGGGAACGCAGCCCCGATCCCGGGAGCGGCCGCCCGCGCGCTCCAAGGGACGGCCCTTTTGTCCTCCGCACCCGAACTCGAGCGAGAGCCAGGTGTCATGCAGCCCTAATTGTGCATGTCACCGCGCACCCCGAGGACACCCCGGAATCACACGGACAGCCCATGCTTTCAAATAACAAACCGGTTCCCTTATCTGTATTTGTGGAAATACCTCCAGTAGGGTGTGTCTCCCTCCCCTCCTCCCCCTCAGATGGGTAAAGTTAAATCAGCAAACCCGAAGTGGCTCATTGAACTGGTTTGAGACCAGGCGACCCCTTCACACTTGACCATCCCGTCTCCTCTCCTGCCGCCTGGTTATTCTTCTTCCTGCCCTATTTTTAAATAATATCTTCTTACAGGTAAATAGCCTGGATCTTATTTTGAGGCTGCTAACATTTAAACAGGGAAGTCGAAAGCGAACTTTATATAAGATGCATGACCATTTGGAGACTATAAAAGGCCTTATGCAGGCTCGTGTACTTCCATGATTTATTTAGGGGCTGCTGCTTTTTCCAAGAGTACTGACAAAATGAAGGGCCTGGAACAAAGAATGGGCTGTGTGGATGCTGTCCCTTGTGCCAACTTTACTTTAATACCCCTGTTCATTTATGTTCAGGCAATTACTTAAATAAGCATGCTCAACCAGCTGGGGAGTGCTACCGAGATAGCATTAGGCCAGTGCCTGTTGTAGCTTCACTGTAGCACTTCACAAATACGCCAGCCTAAAGATAACATGCCTACAGAAATGTCTTCGTTATTAACAAATGATGCATTTCAGGATTTTCCTGAGCTTCGTTTGTGGTTTGACCTATCAAAAAGATTAGCTTGTGTCTTCCTTTGGATGCACCTCCTGAACTCTTGGTGTTCCTATACTGCACAAAAGGTAGTGGCCACTGTCTGCCAGGTTTGTGGTATCAGATGTCTATACCTGTAGAGATTACTGTGAGACCTCCCAGAGTGGAGCTTTATGTGAGAGAACCCAGACTCATGTTCTTGTCCATCCCTTACTTGGCTGACAGGCCCCAGACAAGTGGTGTGAGTTCTCTGTGCCTTAGTTTCGTCTTGTCTATAACAGAGCTAACAGTCTAATGCTTTGAGGAGGGCTCAGTGAGAACCCATAGTCTGTGCTTTGAAAATGTTACTTTTATTCGGTGCCATTAGCCAAAATCCACAGACTTCTAAAAGGCTTTTATTAGTGAATCTTAACATGGGGATTCCGCTTAGTATAGATTTCGTGGCTTTTCTCTTTTCTTGGGGTTTATATTATGCACATTTCTCAAAGTTTGCTGCACACCCACCCTTTCACCTCTGGATGGCCTGTGTCATGAATGTACAGTGTGAAACCATGTTAAAAATAAAAATTTTTAAAAAAGGGGCGCCCCCTTTTTGCTCAACTATTTTTATCTGTATTACCGTCATTACTTTAAGCTGAACCTCACAAATAACACTGTCAAATGTTTCTAGATTTTTTTTTTTTTAAGAAGGCAGAATATTAAGCAAATCACTGTGAAGCTGAGCTGGAAGAGGGAACCGTGTTGGCGGAATAGTCCAGAACAGCGCTTTGTTTCCCTGGAACTTTAAAGTATTCATTCATCTGAAGTTCAGAAAAGCTGTTTGTTTGAAGGGGAGAGAGACTGTTTGAAGGGGAGAGAGACGTTGCAACAGTGAGACCTCACACCTTTAAGTGTCCCAGGAGCCAGTGGTAGCCGTCCACAGAGTAGTATGTCTGGACTGAATAGGCCCCGTTCATCCTTCACCTTCCTTTTTTTTTGGTTTTTCGAGACAGGGTTTCTCTGTGTAGCCCTGGCTGTCCTGGAACTCACTCTGTAGACCGGGCTAGCCTCAAACTCTCGAACTTAGAAATCCGCCTGCCTCTGCCTCCCAAGTGCTGGGATTAAAGGCGTGCGCCACCACCGCCCGGCCCATCTTTCACCTTCCTTATTACCCTGTTAGTATCTTCAGTTACACGTCTGGAAGCATGACCTAGAGATGACACATTGGTTATACAGGGAGGTACATTATAGCTGGTAGTGTTGTGCTGAAGCTATTTTTCTGTTTTCTAATAAATGTCAACTCCGTTCCAGTCATGAGAAGGCGTTCAAAGGTGTTTGTAAAGCTGGAGAAAAGAAGAGGTGGAAGGGAGGCCAGCACTGCAAGGTCGGGCCCTTGTTAGCCACAGCCGCCCCTCCTCCCTGCTCTCCTGTCTTCTCAGTGCCTCTCTGAGCCCAGTGCTTCCTCCTGCCAGCCTTGGTGTGCCTTGTCTCTGTGGTTTCACAGGCTTCCTTTTAAAGAGTGAGGCTCCAGGTCCTGGGTCTCCAGATGCAGCAAAGGAGCTAGATCATCGTAGGCTTGCATTAGCCACCCAGTGCGCCCCCTTTGTAAGAAAGCAGCACAAGGCCAAACATAGTAGGGTTGGGGTCCAAGAAAATGGATTTATGAAATGGGCCAGCTTTGGCTCCTGGATGTAGCACAGCAAGCCCTGCTCCTCTCGACACTCAGCATGTCCGTCACCCTTTCTGCCTCCCACCCTGTCTTACCACAGCTTCAGGGTGCACCCCAAATCTCATCTTCTCCGAAGCTATCTGTGTGCCTTTCCTCGTCCCCCGTTCTGCTCTGCCGGTGTCTACCTCAAGGATCCCAGTGGCCACCTTAAATGTCTATACTTGCTTTATGATGCTGGGGGAATTCAGTGGTCTAGTGGGTGCAAAGCCATGAGACCAGAACGTCTCCAGAGCCATCGCTTTATGTGTTTGTGTTTTTAATTCTTTAAACTCTGGGGCCTGTCACATCTTTTTCGAGTTTGTGTTTATCTATCCTAACTGCTTTGAATATATTTCTTGGCTAGGTCTGAACCCGAACATACCCTCGACTGCTATAAAGATCATCCCCCTGCAGTCGCATGCCCCGCAGTTCGGCCTGCCAGAACCCTGGCATGATTCACCAGCTTGTCCCCACAGTCTAGGGACTTGTAGAGGTTCAGGTAAAAGGTGACTTTCTGCAGTGGTGATCTGCTCTTGCTGATTAGTTCTCCTCACCTTCATCGCCTGTCCACACACCAGCGCCCTGGGCTATTGTTCCATCCCACCCTCATGGTTCACCAGGCAGATTCCAGACCTCACGCATACACAGTCTTACTGAGGGAAGCCGGGCTGATTGAGTCCCATTGGTTGTGTTTGCTGCTGTGACAAACCCCATGACCAAAAGCAACTTAGTTAGGGAAGAAAGGATTTATTACCCCGCAGCTTGTAGCTCATTGTGAAGGAAAGTCAGTGCAGGAACCTGGGCACAGGAGCTGAGGCAGATCCTCAGGAACGATGCTGCTTACTGGCTCGCTTCTCCATGACTCTCTCAGCCTGCTTTCTCGTCTTGCCCAAGATACAAGGATAAAGGTGTCCAGAGAAGGCACCACCCACAATAGGCTTTCCCTCCCACATCAATCACTGAGAAAATACCCACAGATTTGCCTAAAGGCCAGTATGATGGGGGTATTTTCTCTTTCGAGGTTCCCTCTTCCCAGGTAGCTCCAGCTGGCATCAAGTAGACAGAAAAACTAAACAGCAAATAGGAGGATATAAACTCAGTCCTCAGCACCCACATATAAAAAAGCTGGGCATGGCAGTACAGGCTTGTAATCCCTGTACACTGGGGAAGTGCAGACAGGCAGATCTCTGGAGCTTGCTGGCCAACCAGACCAAACGAATTGGTAAGGTCCAGGTTCAGTGTGAGACACTATCTCAAAAACTAAGGTGAAGAGCAGTGGAAAAAGACATCCACTAGCCAACTCTGTTCCTTACCCGTACATGCACCCAAACACTTAAATACATGCATGCACACGTGAATGCGTGTACACACACACACACACACACAGAGAGGAAAGAACAGGGACCACTCTGTGGGAGAGTAAGCCTCATTTTCCGGTAAAACATCTCAGAGTTAAGGCCCTGTCCTGTGAAGGACTTGGCTGCCTTTCCTTGGGTAATCCACAGAGCCTGCTGAAACTTTGTTTTAGTATTGTTATCATTATGGGTTGTGTCTGCCAAACACAGGCCTGGCATTTGGTGATCACTTGCTTGTTTTCCATTCCTGCTAGAAAGCCAGACTCCAGAGCATCCAATAACCAGTGTACAAAAAAAAAAAAAAAAGGAGAGCAAACAAAAACTTGTGCCCACTAATAACCCACTCTTCTTACCTCGTGGGAGGTAATGACCTGAAGTGAGCGAAGATGAGTTCTCTGTGGAGACGGCACACCTGGGACATTGCAGCAGTTTGGCGCTTCATAGGGTCGCCATACATGAACAGACACACAGTTTCCATGAGGTATTAAATTTTCATGAGGATAGGAAATTCAAGGAAAATATAAATGGCTCCGGCTGCCTCTGCGGGGAGGGAGTAACCTATGAAGTCTTTCCTTCTCGCTAGGGCTTTCAGAGCTTTTAAAAGACTCTGCAGAGTCAGCCTGCCAGTTTGTTGTCTGTGACGCGAGGGGTGCTGACCTCTGGTGGCAGACATGTCAAAGTGACAAGTTCAGGTCTGTCTGTGCCTTGTGAACTCTCACCTTCTCTAGCTGAGTTTATAGGCAAGAGATAGATTGATTCTTGACCACAAGAATAATTAAGATTTTATGAAATATCTGTAGTAGAAATTTTCTC